GCCGTGAGTGGCCGTCTGATTAGCCGTTGAGTGATGAATTTTTCAGTCAATATAATTAGTGCTGGAGAATTCTTCACTGACAAATGGCTAATCGGTCTGATCCCTAAAAAGACTTTTGCATCCTATTCATTCTAGTGTGTGGCGCAGTATCATGATTCAGTTGAGCACTAGTAGCAATCGCAGTGCGTTTTTTTCTCTTTCAAAGTCTCTGAATGTGTTCAGCATTCGGAAAGGTCTTTCAGAAAAGGGCCAGCGAATCCAAAGGATTAGTGTTACTTGTTTAATACTATACAAATGTACAGAGTGTAGTATTAGAACCTTGAATGTTATCCAAAAATGTTGGTAGAGGCATCTCAGAATGATAATTTTTACAATCTAAGTCATTAACAGAGTTTCTCTTCAACCATATTTTGTATCGTCGCTATCATCGAGGTAAATGTACTGTAGTACTGGATACTGAGTACATTTGTACTTCGATACTGGTACTGAGTATAAATATACTCAGTATATTGTACTTAAGTACCAGTACAAAGTACGCGTGGTAATTCCAGAGTACATGTACTGGTATTACCAGAAGTGTACTGTGTACTCGTCGTTTTCCAAGTAAAAAGTACGACAAGTACCAAGTATTGTACTCAGTATCCAGTCTCTGCTACTAAATGCTGTCAATGCTTGACTGGCCGGTTCCATTTGTACTTGCCAGTAGCCTGAACGAAGGTCAAGTGTCGAGATAAATTGTGCTTCTTCAAGTGCATCGAGTGTATCGTCGATTCTGGGAATTGGATAAGCATCTCTGATAGTGACGGCATTTAATTTGCGGTAATCTACGCAGAATCGAAGTGTTCCGTCCTTCTTTGGCGCTAATACTATTGGTGAAGCCCAAGTTCTGTTCGATGGTCGGATGATTCCTTCATTTAGCATTTCGTCTATATTGTCTTCTATTATTTTTCGTCGCACGGGTGCGCACCTATATGGTCCTACGTTAATCGGTTGTGTATTTTCTTTGATTTGTATTCGATGTCTTAGTTTCGTTGAGTCCGTTATTTCTTTTGATTCGGTATTGTTTGGTGGATTATTTGTTTTCTTAATCTCATGTGTTGCATAATATACGCATTGATTTCCACCGTCTATGTGTAGCTTTGTGTCCTTGATGAAGTTGTTTCCGATAATGCAGTTCCGTCCTAAACGTGGAACTATGTAAGTCGAGTATTGTTGTGTAACGTTATCGATTGTGATAGAAAGTTGTAATATGTGTTTGATATAGAGGGGTGATCCGTCAGCTAATTGTAAATGAATTTGTGGTGGCGGTTGGAGAAGTTTGATTAGGCCTGGGCTGAGCTTTGATAGTAGGTATGAGTTGATCAGTGTCATTGACGAGCCAGTGTCTATGAGCATAGGAGTTGGTACATCTCCTATGATTCCCTGAATTATTAAAGAGTTCACATTTTGAGACTGAATAGAATAAACTTTAGTTTTGAGACGGGTTCGATACGGGGCTCTTTTTGCGGAGTCTGGTCTTCCCATCTGACCAAGACTCCTTACTCGTTTTTTTGAAACTGACGTTGAGTTGTTGCTGTTGTTATCAGCATTGGTGTCATAATTAGTACTGTGGTTATTCGTATTGTTTCCATTCTGATACCAACATTCGCAAGAATTATGGTTTGATTTACCACAGTGTTGACACCAAGATTTTTGACGATTTGGTAGATTTCTTTGGTTTTGCTGCGACGACGTTAAGGCGTTTGTGTTGTTTTGTGAGTGTTGATAATTTTGGGAGTAATTATTAATTCTGTTGCCGTCGTTGTTATTTTTGCTCATACTTACGTCATTATTGTAATGGTTGAATTGGGACCATTTGCTGTCTTCGTTGTGGACTTTTGCTCGGTAGCAAAGAATTTCTTCTACGCGTTGTGCTTCAAGTAGAATTTCTTGTAGCGAAGCATTTCCTGGACATCCCATTAAGTTTAATACGTCGGGGCGCATTTTACAGAATAGGTGTTTGATTAAATCTTTTTCAGTTTCTTGTGGAAAGTGTTCAATCCATAATGGTCGTAATCGAATCATGAATTCGTTGATCGTCTCTTCTGAGTGTTGTTTACATTGTTTCCATTGTTGCCATTGTTGGGCCATTCGAAGAGGTGAATTGAATTGTCCCATAAATGTTTGTTTGAAATCGGACCAAGTTCTTGGTAACGAGTGGCAGCTACGAAGTTGACAGTACCATTCGAGCGCTGTACCTTTTAAAAATTGTGAAATACCACGTAGTAATGTATCTTCTGACCACATATGTACGGTTTCGGCGTATTCTTCCACTCGAGTTAGGAATTGTGATGGTCGTTCTGATGATCTTCCGTAGTAAATAGGGGCATCTGTCCGTGGTGGGAGGATAATTTTTTGTATTTTGTGATTATTGTTCTCGGGTGGATGAATGTGAACCGATACAGTGTCCATATTTGCTGTTGGTGATAAAATATTTCCATTTTGTGCACCTTGTTTTGGTGGTGACATGAAAGTATCGTTATTGTTATTGTCTTCAATGGTAAATGTTCTTTGTTCTTTTTTATGTTATTTTGTCTTCTTGAAAATATATTGTTTAAATTCCTTCATTTCTTTAATTAGAGCTTCCCGATTTCTAACATTTTCTTCGATGAATGTCTTGGTATCTTGTTGAAAATTTTATATTTCCTCTCCGACGGTGTCTAATATTTCTGCTCTGGTATTATTGAGCTCCATCTCGAGTTGCTTGTTTGATGATGTAATCTGCCCATTCAATTTTTCGTTTATGATAACTAATTTTTCTTCCATTTGCTTAGCGGTAGTTTCCATGCTGGTGGCGATTGCTTCTTGCATCTGTTTGATTTCGCTCTGTATTTATTTGATTTCTTGGATGTGCTGCAATTGTAGCGATCGAATCTCCTTAATAGCTTCTACTGGTTTCATCGTGATCATTGTTTCTTCCAGCTGTACCGCTCCGTCTATTTCGTTCGTCATTATTTGATATCTGATTCGGTTTTGTTTTTCTTTATATTGGCTTAATGTAAGTGTAGTTTAAACAATATCCCTTGTGATTAATATGTTGTCGCGATCGTTTCAGTTTTTATTCTGCTGAAATATTTTCGTTTTCGAAGCGTTGTTTGGAGGTTGTCTTGCCAGGTTCGCCAATTGTAACGATTTTCTCGTTTCGCTATTTCGGTTTTGTTTATTTCCAATGATCTGCCCTCTCACATTTCTTCCATGTATATATGTTGGTGTCCAACGTGAGATTCAGGCCAATCAAAGATTCGCCTAGGCGAAAGTGGAATTCCACATTGGACTAGCCCAAAGTCGGATTACCACTATTTTACAGCGTGAAACTCAATTTACTTCACAAATTGATATGGCCCATAGGTAAGAGTAAGAGTATGAGTGAGGCCGAAGCTTTCCTATCGATTGCCGACTTCAAAATGAAAATCTGAATTGTAGAAAAAGTTTTAT